CGGATCTCCTCGAATGAGATCAATATTTTCAGCACCATTCTGAATTTTGTCAATCATATCTGTCAATATTGCCACAAAAATATTATCCTTTTGTAATGAACGATCTGTATCTACTTTCGAGCTTTTAATGTCAATTAACAAAGCAGAGATATCGACGTTCGAAGGATATTTTGTGAATACATAAAAAATAGACTCAAGTCTATTCTGAATATTATGCACCATGTTAATCAACATATGCGCTAATTTTTGAATTCCTTGTCCTCTATCACCTAAACTTTTATAACTTGATAGAGCAAGTATCTTAACACTCTTACATCCTTTAATAGCTTCAATGACACCTACACCATTAGCTATGTCGACTTCTGGACCTGCTGTGTCACCAAAACCTGGCGCATCACATAAAATAATTTCCTCGGTTCTGTGAGAACCAAAAATATCTTTCAACTGAATAGTAACAGGTGCGATGTAACGAGTTTCTGACTTGTTTCGTGCACTAGTTGTCACATTTTTCAATCCATGATTAGTACTGAGCTCATCTATTGCAATATGTGCTAGGAACTTTCCAGGCTCAACTTCTACTTTAGTCTCTTTCATCTTACAGCCTGCAAGATACTGAATTGTAGTCGATTTTCCAGTTCCAGTTTCACCTATTAAAAGAATTATTTCTTTGTCACGAATCAATTTAGCAGCATCCCTAGCTTTTCCAACGAGTTTCTGTATCTCCTGTGTGTTTAAAGGTCTTATTTTCATCAAGAGTTCCTTTAGAAAGCGCACCAACATTGAAACATTGTGGTCCTTTATATACCTGTTTAAATCACGAAGATTCTCCTGAATTTCCTTCGAGAGCCATCCTTGTTTTTGAATCTGATCCTGCAACTTCTCGAATAAAAGAACTACTGTACCTTGGACATTCGCAAACGTGCTATCTTCAAGTAGCTTAGTTTCAAAATGCAATAGAAGTTCCATGACGCTTTTTTCAGCACAAGGAGGCATAACAGCTAAATCGTGCCGCAGTTCTTCAAGATATAATCTTTGTTTTCCTTTCTCATCGAGGATCGCATTATTGGGCAATGTTGTTGTACTTGAGGCCAAATCAGTATCCGACGAGATTTCTATTATTGGAGGTTGATTTGATGTTGAAACTGATGTTATTAATTCTAAATGAGAGGAGCAAATAAAAATCATAATCAATTTTAATATTCTATGACAATCATTGTAGCTACAATCTAAAACTCCATACTTTTCCCATCGGTTTCTTACTACTATTTACCAACGCATATGTATTATAAGAAACATCAATTGTAGGTGTACAGATTATGTATTTTGGTAACGAAAATTTAATCTTGCCTATGCGTTAAATTTGGTCTCCAGACGTTTCGCCGCGATCATTCCGAACATCCGTCTTTGACATCGGATGTTCGGAAAACCCGTTAAAAATTTTTGCGAACATCCGGTTTTTTTTATGATCGTTCCGAACACCCGTATTTTTCTTATTACGAACATCCGATATTTTTATCTTAAAAGTGATGATTTTTTGAAGAAAAACGGATGTTCGAAACGGACTTCGACATTGGATGTTTGATATGAAAAGTAGCGACGAAACGTCAAAATGCCTTAAATTTGAGATACAATCAGTGTTTGGTTCAGTAGTATCCCATCTTCATTTGACGCCGAAGATCAAGTTTGCATGTGGTAGTTTTTGATTACCTTTATCTAAGTAGTTTTGTTCATCTCACGATGTACGTACTAATCTTTTTCGAATAAACAATTGTACATAAAAACACGCATTGCAACCTACCCTAACATAATATATAGATTCATTTGTCTATCAAAATTATTAAGGCCCCCTCCTCCTCAAAAAATGTCAATTTTCGTCAGAAAGTCAGATATTGAAATAAGTGCATGGGAAGATAGTTTGAAGTTTGCTATTTCAGAAACAGTACGATTTTTCATTTAATACCTCATTCTTCGCTAAAATTTTTGATGATTTCCATTGGAAAATATACGTTTTTCCGATAAAACGGAAGATGTTTTTCGTTTTTTCTCGGTTGACACTTACTAACGCGTATCCAAATTTTTTTGGTCCACGCCCGTCCAATATATTTAGATTTTGTTTGTTTGAAAGAGTACATCAAGATGCAAAGCACGACGTTCTCCTTTTTTTGTCAAAATTAAGCTTCTTTTTCCTATATATACAAGCACTTATGTAAATTGGCGTCCATTTTTAGAGGGTTTTTTGAGTCATTGAACTTGTGATCCCTTTTCTCCACTTAAAAAGTAAGAATTTAGAAAAAAACACGACGCCATGCCCTGCATCTTGACATGCTCTTTCCAACAAAAAAAAAATTTAAATATCCGTCTGGCCAAAATTAGTTGCACCAAGGGAGAAACAGCGGATTTGGGATTTTGGGATTTTTGAGATTTTAAAAAAAATTGTAAATGATGGGATTGTCGCCTGAGTTTTTCTTGATATAACGGGTGGCGCATAATAAACGGGACAAAATATTTCGGTCTTTTTAGGACACTTTTCTGCTCATTGAAAACTTCGTTCTAGGCTCATTCGATAGAAAATTTTCCGCTCTATAAAATCTATTACCTTCTTGGATTATATATTACTCTATTATTTAACAAAATAGCATAGAGTAAGGACAGGTGAAAAGTATAACTGCGATGGAAAGAACAGGTTGGGATTTTTTTTGTGCTCGATGTAACTGATTATTTAGTAATGTTTCTGTTAGCTATTCATCAGAAATACTTTGAGTAAAAAAATCATCTTCATTTAATGAATTCACGTTGAAAAGTAATATTTTTCCTACCATTCAGTCACTAATAGATGGTGCTACGATAGTTGAGTTATTTATCTACCTATTTTTGTCTGTATACTGTATAATTTCAAGACTTCGTTCTAACTTCAGAAGATACAGGATTTTCTGCTCTACAAAACCATTAACATCGCACAGTTAAACTACGTCATTAAGCTGCTCCTTTTTCCTGCTTTTTTCAAAGTCTCACATGGCTAGAAAGCGCTAGTTAGCTTGTGCACTAAATTTTCACAATTTAGGAAAGGAAAAGGAAAAGCAGTGCAGTCCAAATGGTAGCTCTGAATCCGCTGAACATTTTCATAACACCCTCTTCTCTCAGTTACCACCTTATTTCACGAAGAATTACAGAAAGGCTGAAAATTCACTAAAATTTTGATAATAAATCGGAGTTATACTTTTCACCTGTCCTTACTCTATGCTATTTTGTTAAATAATAGAGTAATATATAATCCAAGAAGGTAATAGATTTTATAGAGCGGAAAATTTTCTATCAAATGAGCCTAGAACGAAGTTTTCAATGAGCAGAAAA